TATTTCCCCTTTTAAATAGAAGCATTCATTTTAACCACATATAAATAAATCTGGAGTTCCTGAAACATAATTTATGATGGTTAATGCTCACAAACATATTCGAACACAAAAGGAAAATTAAAAACAAAGCCACATGGAACTGAGACCAGGGCATGAAGCCAGTCTTAAATGCAAAGAAACATAACCAATGAGAACCTCATATTCTCCATTAAAGACACACCATTAAGACTACAAGGAGAGAAAACGTTATTTATACGTCTAATTAGAATAGACAAGTTTGTATCAATATTAACACTATACAATTGAGTCACAGAACACAGTTGTAGAAAGACACAGAAATGATGTTTTAAAGCGTACTGGTTGACAAAACTAATCCCTAGGTTCTTGTGTCTTTTAAAAGAAACATTTTAAAAACCCTAACCGGGGTGTGGGTGCTAAAAACAGTGTGGACAATGTCATTGTAATCTCGAGAACGAATACAATCCATTAACCAGAAAGGAATTAGCTAGGCTGAGACGGTTTCAGACAGAGAGTCGGTGTACCTTTTGTAAACAGCTCCCTGTATATTAAACACACAATTACAGTCGGCTTGCAGAAACTGCAGTAGAAAGAGGGCACGGACATGATGTAAAAAAACCAAACAAACCTAATCAATAAAAATAATAATAACAGGATTTCTTATGCTTAATGGTCAGGGCCAATTCACTTTAGGGTTCTTTGCAGGACCCGGAATGGTTCAACAGCTGTTCACACATTCATCGTGGGATTTCTCTGCATTGTGTGCTTAATGGCTGAATATGGGCTATTGAGCACTGTGGAAGTGCGCAGGTTATAGGCAAGTTCCACCGTAGACTTCTGGCTCTTCGATGCTCAGCCACCCATACAAATAATCGCTGGATGTTCGTTCCCAGATTAATATGATGCTGTGAATGAACGCATTGTTCGGTGGGAGCGTAAGAGTGAATGATTTGGCCTCCAGCCCTCCCAGTGATGACTGAGCCGTATTTCGGGACGTTTGCAGATAAAATGAGGTTAGCTGATTTCATCCGAATATGAAAAGATATTCTTCCCGGTGCATAAGGAGAAACCAGGATAACTTTTCATTTTTCATGAGGGCTGGTGGCTCTGCAATCTACTTTGCCCTCGGGAAAACACAACTGAGCCTATTCTGCCTCTAATCCTAAACACACTTACTCGGGAGCGAGCCCCGTTAAAGGCTTGCTTTAAGTGGTATTTCTTTTTAAAGTTCGCATAATGGAATTGTGCAATTAGGTCCCGTAGCGTACAGTCCTACAGAATTCTTCCAAACGCCGTAGTTTTCAAAATGTCTACATTCATTAGCAAATGGGTTAAAACTGAGACTAAAACGGAAAGGTGGGGCTTCTTTAAGCCTCGGAAACACTCGGAGGCTACGCCTTAGTACAACTCAGTAACAAATTACTCTAAGGGGCTAATCTTTATATTGAAGGTATGGTATGTCAGACCTTCCAGCCATACCGCGCGGGTCCCGTCTTCCAGGCATCCGGTACTGTAGGCTCAAGCGTTGGGCTGCTTCACGCGAGCAGCGGGCCGCTGCCCACCCCTCGCGCGAAAAGGGCGACTCTGTCCTGAAATGGGTGCCGTCTTTGCATCTCCCGCGGGTCGTTTCCCGGGCAGAAGCCAGCGCCTCAGCCGCAGCCTCGCGCGCGAGACGGCCGCTCGGGGGCAGCAAGCACGGCGGGTCGCGATCTCTCGCCGCTGCCACCTAGCGGCCATCCGCGGACCTGCGGCCTGAATTGGCACTGCGGCTCCAAGTCCGCGAGGGGAACGGCCCGCGCCCGGCGGAGAGCGGGGCCGCCCGGCCACTGGTTGCGCGCCGGCGCCCCGCGGGGTCGGCCGAGCGCTCGGC